TTATAATTTGAAAAATAAGAAAATATATTTAGGATCGAGATTATATTTACTGATACGGTATTCAACATAGAGTAAAGGACAAAAATATTATATCTTACTAACATAAAAAACTTATTTTAAATTTTTGGTACATATATTAAATCAAATTAACAGTCTTCAGTCCATGAAACCCGAATCCATGATTCTAGGTTTTCGATGACATTCGATTGCTTCGATTGCTGCTCAGTGTTGTGAGTTAGCTCGCTTTCATCGAATTTTGGAATGTCTACGTCGTGCTCATCGAGCCATTCAACAGAATAGTGCTCTAAATTTTGAATAATGCACATCAGTTCATTAGCACGACGAGCAGCGACTCTTACAGGTCTAACTTTTCTATCAGTGTGCGTGTTTACTTTTTTATGGATATTTTCGATGTGACGATTTAGTGACTTGATGGAAGCATGATAAAGACCACACGTTTTGCATGTTCGACTTGATAGCCTCAATTTTACCATCGGACAAAAATAATCGTATGGCATTTGCAGGAAATCTTTGAGTGAAGCACTTAAGCGTAGAGCTAAATTAACTGGAAGATTAAGAAATTGCCCTCCATCATCCAAAACCAAGTCATCAACTGTTTGTTTTACTTTTACAGGTGGTGGAAGAAACCTATCGTCTAGTAATCTAAATAGACCACTTCTTGGACGACAGCATTCTGTATTTCTACATTTTACAATTTGAAGCAAGTATTGGCTCTCACGCACATGTTCTGAATACCATTTAATGTCTGAAAAATCAGGAAGATCTTGTTCACCTGCCCCAACATATTTTGCATTAACATTATAGCCATCAATTTCCATTGAACTCCATACTTCAGCTAATACATTTCCTGCAAATTCAAAATTAGATCTTTCTAAATGTTCATCAATTGTAACGCCAGGTTCATCCAAATGAGTCCCAAAATGGTCATGAGGCAATATTAAACCAGCCAGTTCCCGACTAAGAGGAGCCATTCTTCGCTCTACTCTGTTATACGCACTTCTTCCAGGAGCATTGATAGCTAAAAACAATGCATCGAGATCATGTCGCTTAAAGTGTTGTATAGAAAAAAAACCCTATGACTTTCTGATAACGTGGATTTTCATCTGGCCCTCCATCAACCTTCATGATTACCACTGGTTTTACTAGTCCATGGTCAGTTTTACCTAATGGTCGAAACTCTTCAAGTTCGAGAAGCGTCTCGAAATCCTGAGCATGAGTATTAGTAGTAGATGAACTATGCTTTCCACTTAGAATAGCGATGTATGTTGGTCCAGAATATCCAACGGCTTGCGGCTGTCCTAGCATATTGGAAGTGACTTTGATACCAGCATAAACAGATGATATTAATTTATGACGCTCAGCGATTACCCAATCGAGATCAGGCAATTTGATTCTATATTCCATGTTCATTAGAAGAGGCGCTTGCCTATTTGCCGCAGTTACGCCAATAGGGACTCGAACTTTATCATCTTGAGATATGAAAAATACTTGATCTGGTCCAAGTATGGATGCTATGTTCTCTAAATAATGGATTGATGTTTCAGCGAACTTGCTATCTAAGTGGCTGTTGTGGTGGTCAGTTTGAGCACGAATGAGCTTAATAGGGAGTGTCGATACATGTCTTCGTCCCTCTGCAGAATTAAATTTTCTGAGAATCAAACGTAGATATGTCCCACTCCGACTAATGTCAAATCCTATTTTACGTAATTCTTGTGTGAGTTCATCAAGAGATTTTACGCTGCGAATTGATTGCGTTCGTCTTCTATCATCTGCTGCACTCCCAAATAAAGCTATATCCGCGATTGTTTTCAATAGTGAATGTTGATTGCTTTCAAGATTAGGACGTCCCACTGAATCCCTCAGAGAGTCTTTTTTTATTTCTGGATTTTCATGACAAATATATATATCTTCTAACTTTCTTTTCATACTATCCCTGTGTTTCTTCTGGGCGTTTTGAACCTTCCTGTTTAAAGGCTGTTTTGCTGTTTTTATTTCCTTGCGCAACTTAATGATCTGTTTATCAGCTTCAGCACGGCTTGGCATAGAATCTCTGACAGAATACAAAGCATTCAGATTTTTTTCGAGTAATCTTATTTTTCATAGCTTCCTGAGAAGGTTTTGCTCTCTATTTATCTGTATTTTCATTAATTTCGCATTGCTGTTGTGATTCATTACCGGGTTTTTTTTATCTTCTTCCTCTTTTTTAATATTTATTTATATAATATTTAATATTTCTATGGCTTCTGCTAAAGATTCTCTTATTAAGCTACATAAATACAAAGTATGGCAATATATATGGTAAATACAAAACCATATGGCTCTAAATCTAATATGTTTAAACGAGCAATTCGTTCCGGTCACAAAATACAGGGTGTTAGTTTTCTGTATATATGTATAAAACTAACATCCTTTACTTTGTGACCAATTGACGGAACCAATCATAAGAAATAAATTTATAATATAATGGATATTACCTCTATACTTTGAGATAGTCGATAATATTTTCTAATCAGTAAAGATAAACTTTTTGGCGATTTCTAATATTTCTAGTACTCATAGGTACCTAAAATGATTTCGTCACTCACCTTAGAAAAAAAAATTAATAGATTGGATTTGTTCTTAGTCGCCGCTTGAAATTCCTCTTCGATTCTCTTAGATACAATAATATCTAGTTCCTTGTCGGATCTTGCTTGTAATTTGTAATTTCGCCACACTTCGTTAAGTAACTTTTGTACATTTTGTACTTTCATACCTGTATGAGATTTTTTAAAACTTTCAAACAATTTTTGGTATAACTTGGATTTCTCTATGTGAAACGACATCTTATTTAAACATTAAACTTTGGCTAATGGAATCAATGGTAACACAAATGTTAACTTGCTTTACTAGGCTTACAATACGTCTGCTCGCTATAGTATCCGAACGAAACAATACACTGATAAAGGAAATTTAGACAAGTGAACACCGCGCGGTAATTCCCCTACTCGGTTCTAAAGCGAGTAGGGGAGTTACCGCGCGCTGGTCACTAAACGTATGCATTATTTGCGGGAATCCCCGAAAATGCGTATCGTTTTCAAAGACAATGTGAGGGTTGCCATTCGTGTAAAAAAGTAAATAACTACCGATGACGTAATCATCATCTAGACTCCCCTACCCCCCATGTCATCCAAAATAAGCAAAGCAAAGATCCCCCCGGCCCCCCATAGTGCTCACGTAATACTTGAACGGCCCCTAACCTGTGACCTTGAATCTGACAAAATAATGGGATAAATAAGCATAATCAACAACATAAGTTGATAAGCAGATTCATCATTTATCTATGATGTTTTTCATTTACATTATTGAGCTGAGGGCAGGAATCTAAGTTCTTCTCTGAGAAATACGGTAAATAATGGCGTTTATGAGTTTGGCAGTAGCCGTTAAAATAGAGACGATTTTCAATAACCTTACTTTTCCTAGTTCCTTGTTAGTTCTTTAATAACCACTTCGACATAACTTCTATCTGTGTTAAAATAAAGTTGAGACTTATATAAAAACTACATAAAAAAATAATTGGTACTTGTATATCCCAGGAAGAAATGTTGTAATATAGTTATAGTTTTTTAACTCCTCTCTTAAATCTTGGATTTTCACTGATAATTTATTATACAGCTATAGTACGGAGTCTGAAGTATGTGGTAGTATGTTTATGAATTACTTAGGAATCTGAATCTGAATTAGTATGTGAGACATGTAATTCCAATAAACATTTAGGATACTCTTCGATTTGAAAACTTCTCCACAAGAGTCCAGTAGTTTCATACCATAAATTGATACAATTATTCAATTATGTGTAGCGGTTTATCCCAGATCATAATATTACAAGACATATGGGCATAAGTAATATACGTTCATTAAGCCTTTTTCATTTAAGGAGTCTTTCATTTGAACTGATTTCTAAAATGGTTAATCTTTCCACCTGACCATTTGTTATCGTTTATAAATTCCTGAATGTCCTATTGACTTTTATTGCCACACATTTTATCAAATCGATATTCGGCTATTGTTATGCTAAATAGTCCCGCTTCAAGCCAGTTCCAGTGCCCTAGTTTATCGAGTTCCAAGCACAACACAAGACCGAAAATCCTTTAAAATCCCTCAGATCATTAATCATTTCGATTACTAATACAGAGGATTATTTTCTTTTCATTAAATGTCTGTTTTGCCTGATAACAGTCAAAGATTGATGGTGCTACAAAAAATTGATGTTCGCTCGAAATCATTTCTTCCTTTAATCTGCACTGATCATCTTATGTAAATTTTATGGTTTTACACCGTGTATAATCACGTTTCCATTGAAGATGAAGCAGCGATGAAATGAGATACGAAATAACAACGTCGAAGTTACGACTTCAATAAATGTGACATCGATAAGTGTTCATTTTAGCCTATCTCTGTGGTATTTTATTTCCATTGCAGCTGCATGCACGCTATTGACAAAATTGATGTAATAGTCTGTGGTATTTTACTACCCTTAATCGTTTTTTCCTCAGAATTCTGCTACCATTGAGATCTGTGGTGTAGGTATTGGAATTTTAAAAATTCACTCTCATTTCCAGCCTACCTAAAACACCTTCACTTCTCAGGAAGTTGGCAGTATATGAGTTTGTGTCAGGTTTAAAACGTAAATGCCAATGTGTATGTGTTCTATTTTTATCGACATTAACTTTGGGTCTACTTCAAAGCATGCAATGTGAAAGGTTTGTTTTTAGATGTTTCCTATTCAGATATCGAAAATCATTCTGCTCTTAAGCAGTCGTTCATTACTGTTTGTTTAAATCTTTTTGGGGTAATAGTACGTAAAATGTACCCAGATCAATGTGCATGCCATGGTGTGTTATAATCTTGTTGAATGTTTTGTTGATAAGCTGACGTATTGTTGATGAACCTTATTTGTACCACCGCCCCTCAATAGTTGTTTCTCTTTTCAGGGAGTGAAAATGGGTTCATTACGTTTCAAATTAGTAGATATGACCTATGAGGAATTAATGTGCGAAATTAATGATGCTGACACTAAGGCGATACCTTCATATTCTGGATCAATCGTGGACGATGAAGTACAAAATATCGACACTGACTTCACCAATATTTTGCAGTCTGACAGCGAATCAGATTCGGAGTCTGACCTTCCTCTCTTAGTTTTACAAATGAAGATGGCACAAAATAAAGACGCTCGTGATTGGTCAAAAGATAGGGTACCAAAAGAACGAAGACACTTCATTGCTGACGCAGGAATAACTGATATATTGAAAAATTTGGATTCTCCTAATCCGGGAAACTATTTAGCAGATTTTCGCCAACGACGCTATATCAGAAGACATAGTTTTTCAAACTAATTTATATTGTCGTCAAACGTCTAATAGGCCTAGAAACATAGATATATCGGACCTGAAAGCTTTTTTGGGTATACATTTATTGATGTGGATAAAAAGAAGTCACAGCTGTAGAGATTATCGGAGTAGCTGCCCAGATCTGAATGATGCATATACAGGGTGTCCGCAAAGTTGGGGTTTTCCTTTACACGACGTGTAGATCTTGAAAACACAAGCAATTTTTCTTAGTACCATATACACCAATGTCTTAAGGGAACCGAGATAAAGGGCTCTGCAGCATCAAAAATATCTGAATACCGTCCTGTAGCCGCGACCCGCCGGGATATCCCCGACACCCCGACTGGTACAAGGTCTCAACCCGACGGCAGAACTGGGTCGGGGTCAGTGTGTCAGGTGAGTATGCAACCTTCAACCGACGGTTACGGTCACGCATGTAGAGGTAATCGCGTAGACGAGAATCCCTCAACAAGCACTAGAGACGTGGCTAGAGAAGTGCAAGTATCAACAACTAAAGTGTGGCAAACGCTGCGTGAAGAGGGGCTGTATCCGTTTCACGTCCAACGTGTACAAGCCCTTCAACCTGACGATTTTCCAGCAAGAGTGGGGTTTTGTGAGTGGTTGTTGCATCAACATGACGGACTTTTTGAAGTGCATATTGGAGACAGACGAATCTACGTTCACGCATAATGGGGTGAATAACTTTCGCAACACTCATGTTTGGTCAGTAGAAAATCCGCTCGCTGTCCGTCGGGCACACTTTCAACAAACATTTTCGGTGAATGTTTGGGCTGGCATGGTGAACGGTATGATCATTGGACCATTTATTCTCCCAAATCGATTGGACGGGATGCAATACCTAGACTTTTTACGCAACACTTTGCCTTCCTTGTTAGAAGATGTGCCATTAAGTGTAAGACAATCAATGTGGTTTCTGCGTCTGCTCGGTAGCGCTTCAGCTGATTTCATATTCTGTTGGAGCGGTATGATTTCGGGCAGAGACGTACTTAGCCCTTCTCGTCAACTGGAGAGTGAGTACTTTTTCCTTTATTTTTTTTTTACTTGGTCGCCCTCGTTTCACTACACATTACCTTTATTATTTCAAGGATAGTTGTTGCTGAAAAGGAAAACCCCAACTTTGTGGACACCCTGTATAAGTTCGATAACGCCAGTGAAACTTTTTAGTTGGTTTCTGTCAAACCTTCATTTGAATGATGATTTGTTGATGCCTACAAACGGAGCACAAGACTACGATAAACTGTATAGGCTAAGACCACTTCTGAATAGCCTGTCTAAAAATTTTGCAAGCTGCATGGCTCGTACCAAATAAGTGTGCATACACGAGTCCATGATTAAATTTAAAGGAAGGCATTCACTAAAACAATATCCTCCCAAAAATCCAATTAAAAGAGGGTATACGGTCTGGATACTGGCTAATAGAAATGGCTATTGTCAAAAATTCCAAATATATACAGGAAAATCTAATGATGAAGAAAACGGTTTGGGTGTTAGAGTGGTAAAAAACCTACTAGAATGTATGGACACCATATAGTGTATTTTGACAATTTCTTCAGCAGTGTACCACTGTTAGAATATCTGAAATCGAAAGATATCCACGCATGTGGAACAGTCAACGTGAAAAGGAAATTTCTTCCTATCTTCAATCCAGATAAGTCCCTCAAACGTGGCGAATCTCAAATCGTCACTTCTAACACAAACGTTGTTGCCATGAAATGGCGATACAAACGAAGTGTCCACTTGCTATCTAATTTTCACAAGCCCACCGCTGTTGCCGAGGTTGATAGGCGAGATAAGACTGGAGCCATTTGTAAGGTTTCTTAAGTCCAGCTGCTCTAATGGATTATAACAAAAACATGAATTTTGTTGACAAGTTTGACCAAAATCTTAATGTCTATAAAATCGATCGCAAATCAAAGAAGTGGTGGCATCGCATATTTTTTTATTTATTGGATATGGCGGTTGTAAATTCATTTGTTTTGTATAAATAATTGAACTTGCCTGAACTATCGATGAAGGATTACAGAAGACAAGTAGTGAATTATCTTTTGGCCAATCGATCGCACTGTTAATCTGAAAAGGATATCACTTAGCTCAGTACCAATTCCAATCAAGAAGTCAAAACCATACGTGCCTGTTGAGATACGTACAACCGAGAGTGCTCGTCACCCACAAAGAACCACCAGATGTCGTTGCGCCTACTGCAGTACCTCAAAAAAACAGATTCGGACCGATTGGATGTGTACTGTTTGCAAGGTACCTCTATGTTTAGGAAAAAATAAAGCATGTTTTCAGCATTTCCATAATCAACAATAATTTACATTGATGTACTCTGGTACATTATTCGGACCACCTGAATGTTTGGAAATTATATAAAAAAGTATGGTATGGTGGATAACTGCTTTCCAGCTCCTCCTGATGTATATTTGAACTGCTTTTACCGTTCTGCTGCCAAAATGGTACTTATTACTTTCTGATTTTATTCGCTACAATGGGGTATTTTACAACTTGGTGATATTGTCCTATTGATGTCTGAAATCGATTGTTTACACCATTTATCAATTGGTATACACTTTGCACGCGCTTTTTTCACTCATTTTCTGAAAAAAATACATTTGAAATTCATACCACCAAAGTGGGTTCATTTAAACTTCATGTTTGTCCCTCCGAAAATATCAGCCAATAGGAATCGATTTTTTTAAAGGTTCTCATTAGAATGTGACGATATTTTTATGAAGGATATGCATCAGCGCTATTGCCATGCACTAGGGAATTTCATGAAAGTTCACGACTTAGCAACGCTTCTTTATTCCGATCAACAGTGTTGCCTCAATGGTGTACCTGTCTATATTATGTATGTATAGCTGTAGGTCGACATAACTTGGCAACATTGTGGTTCAACGAGGGTCAAACCGTTGACTTTTGACAGTGACAGAGTTGCGTACCGTGTTTCGTGCTGTTGATTTTGTGTTATCCGTTTTGTAACCTTTATATATTGGATTCTTTTGAACATTACAACAAATTGTCGGTAAAAAAGTGTCTTATTAAAGTGTGTTCAAACACAAGTATTAATTCGCCTGATAAAATATTCTTATCAGTTCCGATAGATCTTGACACGAGGATTTTTTGGTACCAGGCTGCAAGTGTAGAAGGTCCCATTCCTACCACTATGTTATACTGTTGTGAAGATCATTTTGATGTAAGTTTATTAACAGAGCTAAAGTTTTTCATAATCTATTAAATCTCGGTTTATTTTCAGTTGGCAGATGATGCAGAAAACTGGCAATATTACAAGACAATTGGGCAGAGGTTACGACTAAAACCCGACGTGAAACCACACAGGAACCTGTCAGTTCAGAGTTTAGGAACGTCCCAATTAAGTCCACCATCAAAAAAGAGGAAAGCTCAGATGTTAGAAACATTAGGAAAAAAGCTTCACTGCAAGATAAAACCAAGGGCAAAATTATTTGATAAATCGCAGCCAGGTATATGCAGAGATCTGCATCATGATGAATCTTGCCAGCAAAACTCGAGTTTGCTACCCCTGAAGAAAGCAACCAAAGGAGTCCAAGTTATAGTTGATACGAAAACAGTGTCAACCAGCACACTACCTCATACTGCAGAAAAGGCTGTTGCCACTAGTCATCCCAAATGAAAACAGTTGGTTGAAATGTGCACAGGGATTTGTAGTGAAGCACTAATGGCTCAAGTGGTAGTTCCTCCCCGCAGCTATCGAGCACTTCATCATTAAGCAATGGAGCAAGACTGAAGACATCAAAAGAGGAACTAGAAATATCTAAATTAGAGAACAATAGTCGGTTTTTCTTAGGTTTGCCTGAAGACTGTTTCTATATTGTAAATTTATTAGTTGAAGAAGGTGGACTGGATTACATTGATGTTTTGATCACAATGAAAAAAATTAGGACAAATGATCAGTTTTCAAGAATAGGAATTGATTTTGGTAAAAGCACAAGTGCCATATCTAAAATGTTTAATAACACTGTTGTAGTAATGGCTCCTTTAATGACACAGTGGATTGTTTGGCCTCCCAGTTGGAAAATCAAGAAATTAGTACCAAATCAATTTAAAGCCTATTACAACAATGTACAATCAATTATTGATTGCTTTGAAGTTGAAATTGAAAAACCTTCAAATGCACTGCATCAGGCTAAAACATGCAGTGAATATAAAAAGTGTAATACTATAAAGTATCTTGTAAGTTGTACTCCTAATGGGCTGATAAACTTTATTTCTAGTGGGTTTAGAGGACGTACAACTGATGTACAAATTGTTGAGAAATCAGACTTCATTAATGTGATTCCAGAAAACTGCGTAATAATGGCAGATAGAGGTTTCAAACACATAGAAACTATACTGCATAAAAAAAGCGCATCATTATTAAGACCTCCAAGCATTAGTGCGAAACAAAAACTCACCAAAGCAGAAGTTAATAAAACTAAAATAATAGCTGCTTTGAGAGTCCATATTGAACGGCTCATAAGGAGACTCCGTGAATTTGCTACGTTAAAACCACATGCCTGTGTACGGTCCAGAATAGTCCACCTCCTAGACCATGTGGTGATCATTGTGTGTGGTTTAGTAAATTTACAAGAACGGCCCATCAAGAAATAAGTATTATTGCCATTTAAGTCTTGTTTTTTCTAGATTTTAATAGCACATAACTGCAAGTGCAAGATTGTTTTGTGGTATATTAATACTAGCACAGTGAATTTCTTAGCTACACATTGTGCACATACATAAAGCTAAGTATGAATAATTTTGTAAAACACCAATTTTTCCTTTTGTAGGTTAAAATACTTGTATAGGACTTATTTGAGGCTGTTCTTTACATAATATAATTTTTTGGAGTATCTATAATTTTTTATTCTCCTTTACGACACATTATCATTTAGAAACCTCAAAATAAATAAATTACTCGAATTTACCAACGCTCTATGACATAAAAATAACTAATTATTTAGTAAAGTGTATACTTTGTGTATTAAATTTTTGAAAAGCTTATTAGATCAACGATGTTATGGAATTCAGGATTATTTTAGCTGGTCAGCTGGTGGTATATATCAATATTTTTGTTCATCTACAAATACAATAAAACATT